CTTGAAGACTGCAGTACCTACAGTGTGTATTTTATACAAGACCACAAACACCTGGATACATTCTACAGTCCGCCCACTCTACCTTTAACTACGAAAAAAAAACCTCATCACAAGAGCAAAGTGTGCAGAGCATGTTTTTTGGGAACCACGAAAAACATTCGACTAATATGCGAGTTTATAGAAGCAGCCCTCCCGGCTCACTGGCGTAGTTGGCTAAACCGGATTGCGCGGTGACCGGGTGACAAACTCCTTGTGGTCCGGGTTCACGCCGGGGGTAGGCAGAAAAGCCACATTTCTCCCAGATTTACGGTATTTACAATGGAATCAAGGCCAAAGGGTTGCGATATCCATAATACCGAGCCTAAGGGTTAACAACTCATGGCTTCTGGATACTAAAAAAAACAGAGCAGTCCACCTGCCAGTCTCACCTGAGCATCTATGTCAATCTATGACATCGAACGCAAAGATGAAAAAAAAAAAAAAAACTTCTTGTCTAGCGTGAGCCTGTGATGTGGTCGCTGTGACGAGAACTTCCTAGGACTTGTCAATATTGATCTGAGGATGTCTCTGGCTGTCTGGAGACAACTGTATACAACATAGCACTGCAAAGATTGCTCTAGAACGGAACCCATGTCTGCAAGGACAATAATGACATTAAAACGTATTAATTATTTCTTTCTTTCTTTCCTTCTTTCTTTCTTTCCTTCTTTCTTTCTTTCCTTCTCCTCCTCCCCCTCCTCCTCCTCCTTCTTCTTTTTCTTTTTTCTTCTTCTTCTTTTTTTTTTTTTTTTTTAGCCTTCACAGGCTGCAAACTCCTGCAGAATCTTCTGGTTGTTCGTCAACTCCTGGAACTTTGATCTTGTGAAGAGGATTATAATGTCTTTGAGTCGACTGTTGATTTATGTCTTAAGTCAGAGGTTTAAAAATATGTAGAAAACGATATTTTACTAATGATGCCCACACTCATTAGGCAGATCTGATAGTTTCAATAACCCGGTTGCTTTAAAGCTTTGCTGATGACATAAAAACATGTATACATCTTTCTCTGAGTAATTATTGTTTGCACACCCTGTTTGATTCAGTGCTTGATTCCATGTATTAATATTGACTTTTAGTTAATTTAATGTTAATGAGAAAGCTGCTTTTTGCATTGTACTTAGAAAGGTAATATCTTCTATGTTGTAACTAACGCGTAATTAAATGAGAGAGAGAGAGAGAGAGAGAGAGAGAGAGAGAGAGAGAGAGAGAGAGGGAGAGGGGGGTTTTTAGGTAGTAACCCATAAGTGCCCCGGTCTTATTCTAACTCAAGTCTGAGTCCGAAGAAGCTCAGCACAATGCATAAGCTCTGTAGCACCGGCGAGGATACTGAAATACCTTACGTAGACTTTTTACTTTAAATTTTGCCCAGGCATCGCAGTTAGGCTACTCTTTTCGATTTCCAACTGCCAAATGATTTTTTTTACTAAATAAAATAACTAACTGAAAAGCCGAGTGAGACATTTTATTTGCTGCTCAGCTTGTAATTATCTTCTCCCCCCTTCTTCTTTTTCACCTGCTGTAAACTCCGGCAGAAAGTCCTGGTCGTTCGTCTTTTTATATTTTGGCTTTGTGCCAGGACCTGAGTTTTTAACGTGCATCCATTTTACTGGGTTATTTGTGTGTAGTTAGTTGTTCCTTGCCGCTCGGGCAGATTCACTCCAACTTCAGAAGAAGTCCTCAGTTAGTCGACTCTTATGACATGCTTGTTGGGAAGACAGTCTGTCGATTCTTGTTTTCTCACAATGGATAGTCGGTACCCGCACAGGAAGCTTATGATTTTAATATTAATATTTACCATAATTATTATACTGCACACTTAAACAAGCTAAACCCTGTGAAACATATCGCCCTAAGAAAATTAAGTGTGGTGGGAGATCAGCCCACGCCCCCGTTTCTTAGTGGCGGTGCGCCTAGTCACCAACCCGCTGAATGTCAATTATTCGCTTCCGTGCATCGTGGACTTCATTAATAAAATAAAACATCTCCGAACGATGATACACACTGACATATATCTACGCAGTTCAACTGCTAGAGACAAATTTAGAGCTAACTACAGAGCGTACCACCATCGGCCCAGCCAATCGCGCCTGCATCGCGATGCGGCCTAAAGCTGCCAGCATCAATAACACAGGGCAATAGACCACTGCCAGCCGAACCACACGCCAGAGAGAGCCCGCACAGTCCTATTCCCAGTTCCAATTAATAAACTAAAATTCCAAAAAGATCCTTTTTCAGCTGCCCGAAGGAGGGTTCCTTGGCTATCTTATTTGGTTTCCTATTATTTGCGGTGTAAAGGCACACCTGATATTCCTGTTCTTTGTTTTCCTAAGTCGGTGTGGTATTTAGGGTTCTGGGTCTGGTCTGGTCCAGCTATCTTAACTCCTATCTCTGTGGGTTCTTGCTGTCTGTTACTGGTGCTTAGTTTAACTCGTGTTGGTCGCTGCGCTGGTACCATATTGTCAGCTGGGTTACCGCTTTGTGAAGCCGCGTGAAAAAGCTACACAAACACCACGAAGCACTGTCTCCAACAATGTTTCTTTTCAGGACGAACCCGTACAGCAAAGTACAAGCCCTTTTGTAAACTTCTTGTACCTCCAGTTAGCCAGACTTTTGTCCGTGAGTCCGACCAAATTAACAAAATCATCAGAGGCTGTTGGCGTGCTACCACACAATGAATACCATCTCACTGTGGAGTTCCGGAAATGAGAGGGCTGATTATCTTGCTAAGAAAGGTGCAAATGAAGAACAACCTGACGTCCAAGTCTCTTATCAACAGAAGAAGAGAATAGTCAAATCAATCAGAAAGCCACTAAAACCTGCACAAGACGATTAACATATTATTCTAAGCCTTAGAACAAAACACAATCGACTTCGCAACCACTTGTATGCACAATTTAAGACTGATGAATCGGCCGTGTGCACATGTGGACTGGTACACCAGACAACAGATCGCGTCCTCTAAGATTGTTCCAGATACAACAAATAAAGACATAACTTCTGGTCAAGAGACACAGGTGGAAACCAAGCTGTACTAAGTGAATGTAAAAGACAATTAAGTTCATACTGGAGACAACGTTGCAGAGGTATTTAGTTTATTAGCTCTAATACCTAAATCGGCACTGCTATGGGGAACAGCTAAAACAACGACTTATTAACTAACTGAAAGCAATTATTGACAAATGTCTGTGAAGAATAGAGGGGAATTAAATGGTATGAGAGTAGCGTAAAGCTTTTGGAGAAAACTGACTAAATTCAACTGAATTAAAAAAGAGGCGGGGAAAAGAAGCTAGGGCTGGTTGGCGCACACGGGGTAAAAATTCTGATAATATCATAACCCTCCTCTTCTTCTTTAGCATTCCAAGCCCTTGAGGTTCTTTGCTGCAGATATCACCCGGCTCTATTCATTCCTCTGGTTGGTCTTCTCTTCTCAGCTGGTGACACCAAGTGTTTGCAGGTCTGTCTGGACATTATCTCTCCATGTTTCTCTTGGTCTGCCTCGTGGTCTACGACCATTCATCTCCCTGCGTATATAGTTTCTATTGTTTCTTGTAATCTGTATCTTTTGTACTCTGGAAGTGATAAAGCACGACCCACTGGAGAATGTATATACTCCTTTTCTAAAGGAGGTGGTGGATAATGTAACCCTTACCCTTACCCCGCTATAATATAGGACTGCCTGGGAAACTACCTGGGAATTCCCTATGAAATCTCGCAGCCCCCGAGAGCGGGTGAAATAAATAATAACAGTGCTATACGTTATGTTCGACACCAATTTATGGGAGGCTCCAGTTAACACGCCAGCTAGTGTGTTTGTACCGGGATGCCAATACTTGGGGTTTCTCCTAAGAACTGGGTTTTTATATGACGCCTTGGGTTCCGATTTCGAAACCTAGGGTTTAAAAAAATATATCCAGATATAAAAGTGGGTAAATGTTTCGTTTCGTAGCCATAAAAATTTGTACTTTTTATAAATCTTAGGTTTTTGTTTTTTTTGCTTATGTATTGCATGGGGTTTTTTGGTCAGCTTAGCTTGGGTTTTTGTCTTATTGGCAGCCCCGGTTCTGTGTTCTCGCGTTGTTTTCCTGGCTTCGCTTTACCGTCTGTGCTGTGTTTTTGCCGTTAAGTGTGTTGTTGGTAGTTACACGTTACATTCAGTTTATTCTATTCCTGGATAATTTTATAATAAAGACATGAGTGAAACATATTTAATGTATGGTCCCGCTGCGAAGCGGAAAAGGTATTCTATCACCCTGGAAATGAAATTGGATATTCTGAATAGATACGACCGCGGTGAGCGAACGGCAGACATTAAACGTCTGTTGGGCATAAACGAATCGACTCTAAGGTCGATCCGTGACACCGCCGCAAAAATTCGGGAGAGTTCCAAGACCGCTAGCTTACTCAGTGCATACCGTTTCACCGCTTCTCGTCCGTCAATCATGGAACGGATGGAGCAACAGCTGATCACCTGGTTGGAAGAACAGAATGAGAACAATGTCAGGGTTACTAACTCAACCGTGAAAGAGATGGCCAAGCAGTTGTACGAAGACTTACGAAACAGCAGCCCCGATGTTGATGCGAAATCATTCAACGCTAGTTGCGGATGGCTAGAAAGGTTTAAGATGAGACATGGTTTTACTAGTTTTAATAAGACAGTCGACGAAAACTCGGCTGTTATCAATTCTCGCCCGCCAGTTATGGAGCACATGGAGCAACAACTGATCACCTGGTTGGAAGAACAGAATAAGAACAATATCAGCGTTACTAACTCAACCGTGAAAGACATGGCCAAGCAGTTGTACGAGGACTTACGAAAAAGCAACGGCTATGGTGATGCAAAAACTTTTAACGCTAGTCCGGGATGGTTCGAACGGTTTAAGCTGAGACATGGTTTGACCAGTTTTAGTAATTCTAAGATAATCCTCGAAAACACAGCTGGTACCATTCCTCGCCCGCCAATTATGGAGCACATGGAGCAACGGCTAATCGCTTGGGTAGAAGAACAGAATGAGAACAATGTCAGCATTACTAACTCAGTCGTCAAAGAGATGGCCAAGCAATTGTACGAGGACTTACGAAAAAGCAGCGCCTACATTGATGTCAAACCATTCAGCGCTAGTTGTGGATGGTTCGATAGGTTTAAGCGGAGACATGGTTTGACTAGTTTTAGTAAGTCTAAGACAGTTGACGAAAACTCTGATACCGTGTCTCGCTCATCAATTATGGGTCACATGGAGCAACGGCTGATCAGCTGGTTGGAAGAACAGAATGAGAACAATGTCAGGGTTACTAACTCAACCGTGAAGGACATGGCCAAGCAATTGTATGAGGACTTACAAAAAAGCAACCCCGATGTTGATGCAAAACCATTCAATGCTAGTTGTGGATGGTTCGACAGGTTTAAGCGGAGACATGGTTTTACTAGTTTTACTAATAAGTCTAAAACAGTTGACGAAAACTGCACTCTTGACAATTTTATGGATGCCTTCAGGGCTCTTATTAATGAAAACAGCTACAGTCCCAAACAGGTGTTTAACCTGCAAGAGACTGAATTATTCTGGAAACGGATGCCAAGTAAAATGTTTCTGTCTACTGACCAGGAGTCTGGCATCAAGTCACAGAATGACCATTGCACACTTCTGCTGGGTGGAAACGCTGCGGGAGACTACAGAATCAAACCATTATTGGTTTGTCATACAGATGCCCCAACGGTACTTTTGGGATCTTCTGAAGCTCACCTACCTGTTATCTGGCGTTCTAGCAATACTGGATTTATCACTGCTAAGATTTTTGGAGATTATTTTGTGTCCCAGCTTCATCAGGAATTGAAGGCATACTGCGAGAACGAAGGCTTGCCATTCAAGATTCTTCTTCTCCTTGATATGGATTTGGCATACCCTCCCAACCTTGTGGACCTTAGCAACAATATCAGAGTGTTGTTTCTGCCCACAAAGATCCCTGCATCGATCCAGCCCATGGACCAGGGTGTAATTACCATGTTTAAATCCTGTTACTTTCATCAGCTCTTCACGAAGCTTATATCAGGCACTGAAGTGAAAGGGGAGTCCTTCGCCACTGATTTTTTGAATAGTTTTGACCTAAAAATGGCCATTGATGTAATAGCCGAGGCTTGGACACAGCTGAGTGAGCAGGTCATGCGTGAGGCCTGGAGACAAATTTGGCCTGAGATCCTTGAAGACTCTGAGAACTATCTGATAAATGGGGACATTAACGGTGTGAGGCTGTCCATACTTGATATGGCTAAGGCTGCTGGCTTCACAGAAGTAGACGAAAGAGACGTAGAAGATCTAATAGAATCACACAGCTTTGAAAGAAGTAATGATAATTCTCAAGAGATCAAGATAGAACATGAAGAAACAGGGGATTCTACTTCTGGCAGTGATCAGCAGATCAAGGAGGAACATCAAATAGGGACATGGAATTCTGCTTCTGACAGTGATCAGCAGATCAAGGAGGAACATCAAATAAGGATAGGGAATTCTGCTTCTAACAATGAATCTGTGAGAACTCTGTCAACTGAGACTTTGTTTCAGATATGTCATCTAGGGGATCAGATGATATCTCTGATTGACGAGAACGACCCGGACCGAGAGAGGAGTTCTCAAGTAGCCATACACTTTCAGAATGTGTTAGCTTGCTATAGGGAACTTTACAGAGAGAAAATTGAACATGCAGATCATATCTCTGCAAACACATTCTCCATCAAATATGAATAGACACAATTTTTACATTTTTTTCTATTGTGTTAACGTCATTTGTCTCCGGACAGGTGCACAGGTGCTCATGATTCCTTCGACCTGGAACAAAACAGGAATTCTCAAGAAGCTGAAAACTTTCACAATGTTTTAGCATGCAACAGAGAACTGTAAAGCGAAACATGCAAGTCATATCTGTGCTGACAAATTCTTCATGAAATTGTCCTTACCCAGATAGGACTGCAGGTTGCACCTGGCTAGCAGTGCTATTATGGGGGCCTTAATTATAACCCTTCTGAGGTTGAATGAGGTATCTGGGATTTGTATTGTTGTTCTGCCATCCAGACTGAGATTGTTAAATTTCAGTATGGTATGGCAAATCTTTAGATAGCAGCCAGGAGAAAAAGACCGATCAATCAAAACAATCAGATATATAGACGCATACTAATTTTTTTTTATACCTCAGACATGTTTGTTAGCAGATACCGCTTGTTAGGGGTGTTAAATGTTGGACATTCACACATTCTTGCTCACGAAATATGAGGTGGGGCGGCAAGTTCATTTCTTCATTACTTTTGATTCCCATACAGTTATGGAAATGATCTGGTGCCCATTTTTGTATGGTTAGTTTCACTCCAGGGCATGCACAGTGAACAAACAAACGAACTTTATTTTCAAAGGGCTACAAATTAGGCACGCAAGCCTGTCTTACATTCGGCCCTTCCAAACTTCCATCTTTCACACAGCAGTTGTATTTCATCAATGAAGCATGTTATATTCATGTAATAATATGCATATTATATATATGAAGTCAAAAACAAAAGCATGGCTGGTAAAATATGTACGCACGCTCACGCGCAAACACACACACCCACATACACACACAAGCCCAATGACTCACTTACACACAAACATATAGGCACTAAGTACACACATACATCCACATACATACGAACATGCACACACACATACACACAGTGACACTGAGAGAGCTATTTTTGTCAAATTAAATCAGGCTTGTATACACCCCCACTCTTTACCAGAACATTATTGGGGTTGGTGATCAAGAGGCTTGAGTCTTGGTTAACTGCTTGGCCATAATAATAATTACTATTATATGCTGAATGGCATATATATATATATAACATAAACTGATGCTTACAAATAACAATTTATAAATTGGTGAGGTCGGGGTGTGCTCCTTTAGAATGATTGGAGTGAGAGGTGGAGGCTGTTTTCAGTAAGAATGATTGGTGTTAGACAGGGGAAAGACTGTTCTGCCTAAGAATTATTAGAGAGAGGAGAGAGGCAGTGCTTCCAAAGAATGATTAGAGAGAGGAAAGACTGTTCTCCCTAAGATTTATTAGAGAGAGGGGAGAGGCAGTGCTTCCAAAGAATGATTAGAGAGAGGAAAGACTGTTCTCCCTAAGATTTATTAGAGAGATGGGGAGGCAGTACTACCTAAGAATGATTGGTGAGACTGTAAGAAAGAGAGAGAGAGGGGGGGGGGGGGGGGAACTGTTCTGTCTAAGAATTATTAGAGATGAGGAAGGCTGGGCTCCTTAAGAATGATTGGAGAGAGGGGCTAAGACTGCTCTCCATAAGGGGAAGATTGTTCTCAGTAAGAATGATTAGAGCGGGAAGAGGAGGCTGTGCTTTCTTAAAATGCTAGGAGAGAGAGCGAGAGAGATTCTCACCAAGAATGATTGGAAGGGAAAACTGCTTCCCCTAAGAATGATTAGAGAGGGGGAGAAGGCTGTTCTCCCTTAGAATGATTTGTGAGAGAGGGTGAAGGCTGTACTCCCTAAGAATGATTAGAGAGAGAGGATCAAGATGCCTAAGTTCCCTTGTTCTGATACCTGTATGCGTATGTCCATACATACATACATACATTTGTATGTAAAGTTTCTTTGTTGTTAAACTTTCAAAAGAGTAGATGCAAAATGTATTATTTTTCTTTAAATAGACATTCCTGGGTTGATTATTATTTCTTTGTTAAATTGTTGTTTTGTTACTAATAATAACACACTAAGGCAAACAGAAATTACAGTAGTAACTGGACATAAGGCTAAACTAAACAATTAATTTGATGTCCCTTGCAGAACAACTACAATGAATTTAAAAAAAAAACACTTATCTGGGGCTGTCTGTTTAAGTAATTCTTCTTCTACAGTTGCCCTAAAAATGGCATTAATATGTTGCTCTTGTGGCTTACAGCAAGGCTGTGATTTGTACATCTTTCCACCCAATAATCAGATTTCATCAACTGTGGGTGTATTCCTTTTATCTGTGTGGGTCATTTTATATGTATGGGTATGTAAGGATGTATGAGTGTTTGTGTATGTATGGGTATGTAAGAGTGTTTGGAGATATATGGGTGCTAGTGTATATATGGGTGAATGTATATGACTTGGTGCTTGTGTATGATTTGTGTGTGTATGTGTCTCTCTCTACATATATACATAGCTACATTTAACTTATTTAATACATTTTCCACCTGATGTTATCAGGGTACCCAAGTACTTAAACATATCAGCTTGCTTGAGGCTTATCCATTTACTTTGATGTAGCATTTTGGAGGGTCGGCTTTCTTTGTAATTGCCATTACTTCTGTTTTTTCTGCTCTTGAAACTAAGACCCTTGTTTTGACTTTCTGTTACAATTATGTCCATCATTTCTTGCAGTTATGTTTCATGTTCAGTGATCAAAACTATATTGTCAGCAAATCGCAGGTTGTTAACGATATGCACATCAACAGATATACCTGGCATACCATGTATGGATCTAATTATTATTTCACTGTACAAATGGAATAAATCAGGTGATAGTACACATCCCATCTTGTTTATTGTTTTGAAAATTTCTAACATGGTTGTCAGTTCTTGTGCTGTTTCTTGTTGCCAGTATATGGTTTTTTTTATTTTTTATTATAGAATTTGTACAGAATACCAAAATGGTACTGAATTAACTTGAAACATTTAGCTGTAATAGCTTCTTGTGTGTCAGCAGAAAGCGCAAGCAGAAATGGAGGAGCAGGAGTGTACACTGAGCATCGAAATAACATCAGAGATACAGCAAAAATACCAACAGGAAAGTAACGTCACAATTATGATGCAGAAGTTCAAGTGATCAAGATAGCAATAGAAAGACTGCTAACTGCTTATCGTTTCACACCCGGTGGTACAGTATTGCTGACAGATGCAAAAGCTGTACTTCAGGGACTCCAGTCTGGACAATTGCTAAGTATAAGGAGCATCCACATGTTCGCAGAATTCAAGATTGACCAATCCATCATGTGCACTTATGGACTGGCATTGAGGCAACAGATCACATCTATTGAGACTGTCCCAGATACAATACACATTTCAGGCAAACGATAGAAGAAGGAAAAGCTCGAAATGTCTCATCACTAATTACTACTACTGTGTGGCGCTGAAACATGGAGAACAACTGAAACAGTCACTAATAAACTAACTATATGCAATTATTGACAGATGACTGCGCAGAATATGTGGAATTAAATGGAATGAGAGGATGACTAATGTAGAGCGTTGGGAGAAAGCTTTTCAAATTCCACTGAATTAAGAGGTAGGGAAAAGACGCTGGGGCTGGTTAGCAGTCTTTTCACAACAGGGGCAGAAAAATGAAGTCAGGCAATAACACAGGAAGGAAGTTAGTACTGAAGAAGGTTACTTATCTTCTTCTTCTTTGCGTTCGGTTTCGTATGCTCAGATCAGACCATCAGTGGGTTGTCTGTATGAACTCGCATGTCAGTAGCAGGTCCTTCATGGTTCCCCATAGCTTGTTCTGCACACTTTGCTCTTGAGGCCAGGTGTCTTTTCGAAGTTGTATGTAGAGTGTGCAGGTCTGCAGAATGTTCTTAGGTGTTTGTGATCCTGTTTGACAGGCACACTGTGGGGACTGTACAATCTTTATTTTATGCATGTGGTAATTGAACCTGCAGTGTCCTGTTCGTAGACGGAAAATTGTTCTATGTTTCTTTCTGTTGAGTTTGCTGATGGTATCTTGTGGATTTTTACTGTTAGTTTGTTCTCTCCACAATTCCTTGTATTTTCCCTAGATAAGTGTTATGATTTCTGGTATAGACAATGGATGGGTATGTTCTTTCTCCTTTGTTCCATGTTTTAGTAAGTCTGTCTGCTAACTTGTTTCCTGGTATGCCGCAGTGAGCTGAGATCTACTGGAGAACGATCTGATTATTTTCTGCGAGTCTGTTTAGCTGATGGGTCAGTTCTCTGAAGGAATGTAAAAAGGCAAGGAGGGCATTTGGTGGGCTGCAGGAATAACAAAGGAAATGTAAGACCTTGTGCTCCATTGGGAGATACAAAGGAAGAAGAAGACCAAAGACCGTAGTTGATGGGAAGACAAGAACACCTACTTTATCTGGCAAGTTACACAATGATGTTTAATTTTTCTGTAATGCTTTCAGTGAGAGACACACACTGTTCTTTGGCTACATAATGAGAAGAAAGACATTAGAGAATGTCGTGACAACTGGAAAGATCAGTGGGAAATGGGATAGAGGCAGACCAAGAGAGACAATGCTGGATGGGCTGAAACGATATCATGGAGGGATATCTCCAGGGATCGTGAGCTGTGGAGACTCATGAGCACCTACGCCAGTTGGCAGGGCACATGATGAAAAATGCTAATTCAGGGCCTGAACAATTTAAACTAGTGCTGGGTGGAGAGGGGCTAATGAGTTTTCATGGTGGGGAGGGGGGATGGGTCAAGCAGTTTTAAAAGTGAGTGCATTTGTACTTGTAATGATCAGTTATACTTACCTTTTTTGTTCGTTTAAATAGAAATAAAATATGGGGCGCTAACTCCAGAATACTGAAACAGGAATATACTGGAGCAGTCAGGCAAGTCATGGAATATGCCTCCACTACATGGGCTGCAGCAGCCAAGACAGCAATGGGAAAACTGGACAGGGCTCAGAATATGGGATTAAGGATTGTTCTCGGAGCCATGAAAACCACCCCCATCAGAGAGATAGA